AAAAAAAAATCTCAGATCCAAGATCAAAACTCCCGCTCAACTAAAATGGAATAGGATTTCAGGACAAAAAGAGGCAACGTTGCACTTTCTTGGTTATTTTACTTTACTGCTGTTAATTTAGCACGTTCCCAGGAGGCAGGTGGCGTTGGAAATCATTTTATTTTCCTCTCCGTGGCCAGACTATCGTGCAGCCTGGACACCTCGGGCTCGTAGGCCTCCATGACTAACGTCCCGTTGTTATCGAAGAATTTCGCAATGGATTTGGTGAACTCGGCTTCCCTCTGCTGTTTGGTTTTCCCGCTGATGAAAGTCAGCTTCAGGGTGTATTTGTCATCAAACCTGCAGAGAGATTTGAGAGCAGAATTTAAGCCTGGCTTAACCAATAAAAAAAAACAAACAACTGATGAGAAATCCTTGTCTTTGTGAAGGAGAAAGCCCCCAGGTGTGGAGGTCCCCACACAACAGCTACAATGATGCTAATTATAACACAATTAACGATTTTTATACTCTTCGGATTTTTTTTTCCTTCCCCCATTTAAAGAGAAGCGAAACGTGAACATTTGCAGCAGGCAACCGCTTGGCACCGCTCCCATTTCTAGCTCGGAACGTCGATTTTGATGGAGACAAACCAGATTTGTAAGTATAAAAATAAAGGAAAATATTTAGGGTGATCCTACAGAGTGATACGGGTGGAAATGCTGCGTGAGACTGGCGAGCCCGTCACAGATGGCTGTTACTTCTGAGTAATAATATTCTGGGGTGAATATTAATCACGAGTTGCCTGGGAAGCTGCACAGATCAGGGCACAGCAGCCAAGCCTTTGCAGAAGGCTCACATCCCCGGTGTGGAGACACCGATACTGCAGACACCAAGATTTTCCCCCATTTTGGGGGCTTTTCTGCCCTCCTGTGAAGCACGTGGGAGCTAGAGGGGCACGCAGCTAAACCAGAGCAAACGATACCGTTTGAGGCTGGAGGAGAGCTGCCAAACATCATCGGGGTCCATCCCCGCAGGGTCTTTTCTGTGAGCTACGAGGAAAATACTCTTCTCTTTGTATGAGGTATAGATAGTCAGGATTCCCATCATCACAAAATACGTGCAAAAGAAAAGGTTAAGGAAACTAAGAAGCTGCAATGAGAAGTAGAAATTAGGTAGAAATTGCTTCAATCCCCCTCTGGCACCACCACTGAACCACCCCTCGTGACATTATCATTCCAAACACGGTGCTTGGTGGATGCCTCATCAGCACGAGAAATTAAATAATAACTGGGACAGTTTCTTAAGTCTTTGCTGTTGCACAAATCAATGGAAGTGGTGGGGAAAGCGGCAACTCCCTACGTGCTTTCCTGAAAAGGATTTCTCCAGCCACAATAAAATGCTTCATTGGTGAAACCATGAAGTAAAGCGGAAATCACAATGACAAAATAGTTTAATTACTTTGCTAAAACTTTTGGAGCAACATCTGTTGGGAGATAGTGTGGAAAATGTGAGACTAAACAAGCCACAGAATGAATCGCTGTGCACTCCTCCTAAACAGAGATCAAGCAATTAATCTTTCTCATTATTGGAATTAAAGAATTTTTAGTGCTGCAAGATGAATTATCTCAAAGCTTGTGCTGAAAGCCAACCAGAGGAACTGTAGCCTGGAACAACGAAATGACTTGCCCACGATCACGCAGCTGTTAGCAGGACAGTGACTCCCAGGCCAGCAATAAGTTTCCAGGCTCCCAGTTCATGTCGCCTCAGTGGTCCCATCAAAACCACCCTGGAAAACGTGTCTGTCAGCAGCTCTGGGGCAGCACCACCTATGTCACAGACATTTCTGGGTTAAAACCTCTACGGGTGTCTGTCACCGGCCCTCTGAGCACAAACAGGAAGAAAACCAAACCCTGGCTGCGCTGTTATACCGGAAATGTAACAGCTGACTTCTGAATGGAGTTGACATCTAAACATCTAAACTCTGATTTGCAGCACTACCCTCCTAAACGCAGTGTCTCCTTCTCTTTGGCAGAGGTGCTGGCAAGAATTACCTCCATTTTACGCTTCACTCTCAGTACCTGATCTGCTGCATTAGGAAAGAACAGATGTCTCCATAACCAGGCTTTAAGTAAAAAAAAAAAATAACCAACACACAAAACAAACCCCTGAAGCTTTCAAACTCTGATCTTCTGTTTGAGATGAAACCACTTAAGTGGAGTCTCTGTGCAGTGGGTGTCCGAGATCTAAGAAATCTGCCCAACAGTTGGGAGCCTGGAGAGCAGATCGGCTGCCGGCTCCTCTGACAGGAGCTGAATTGCTGCCCAGGCTCCCACATTGCTGCAGGGGAAGGCCGGACCTCCAGATCACCCAAATTTAGGTGCATTACACCCAGACAGGCAGGAATTTTGCCATCACATGAGAACTATTTGATTATCAGCTGATCTCCACACTGCTGGAAGTAAAATTCCCACAAGTCTGAAGATGAGAACACAGAGAAGGGTTTTCTTGTGCGTTATGGGGAAAATAAAACCCTTTTGGTATAAACAAGACAACATACATAAAGGATATGATACAACACAAAAGGCAAGAACAGGTTTGGATTCAGGAAAAGGGTGCAGGTAATCCCAAACCAAAGCTACCATCGCAAAGAAACAAGAGATGGTGCAGATCATGAGGCGGCCGTCGATCAAACGGAAATTTTCGACGTATTTGTACTTCTCCAGGAGAACCTGCGGGAGAAACAACGCAGATGAGTTTGGTTTGTGCTTTTCATAAATTTGACAAACTGCTTCTGGAAAGGATTTAGGTAAAACAATCTTGATTATACGGGTAAACTGAACAGAAACTACGCAGGATTAACGTCTGCATTAATTGCTGATACTCTAAGCACAAATACTGCTTTAGCCACGGGAATCACAAGAGATGCTGAGGAACCAGGACGGCTCCAGGCACTTCACAATCAAACCAAAAAAAGTTTACGCAGTTTTCAAACTAAATCTAGAAACCTAAGAAAACAAGAGTGTTTCCCAAGAGGGAGAAGTCAGCAGTCACAGAACGTACCTTTTTGGCAGAATCGTCCAAAGAATTTTTCACAGCTGAACCATCCCATTTGTCAATTTTTACAGGCTTGTCGTCGATCTTCCACTGCAACAAAAACCAAAGGGAGTTAAGAGATTTTGGCATGGGTTAGCTTTTCATTTTCATACGCCCGTTCCTGCTGTGAGCACAAAGATAGGAGGCAAACCCAGAAAACACGTACGTGTTTGGGAAAACCTGACAAGAGATGGAGAGAACCCGGGGCCTGTTAGACTGCTACATCACGCCAAAAGTCACCCCAGCACCAACGTACCCATTACCTTTGCAGATTTAAACTTATACATCTTGTCACAGGCACTGAAGATATTTGGTGAAGTGACTTTTTACCTCAGCTTTACCCTAATTTTGATTCTGCGTTTGCTGCTCCTGCTGCCATCCACAGAAAGTATCAATTAGGACTTTTAATTCTAAGCTGTTACACACAGACCCTGTGGGGGATGATGACAGGAAGAAAATTTCAAGGCACCCTTAACAATCTGGGTACAAAGGGAGAATATAATGACACAAACAACAAACAAAGTTTCAGTCAGATCATCCTCCAGAACAAAACTAAAAGACTCTCTTGCTCTTCTATATTCAGAATTTCCTCAGAAGCGGGTTCTTCATCAAGAATGAATCTCAGATACCACAGCTCAGCTTTTCAAAGGGATTAATCTTCCTCTGAACGATGTTATTTTTTGGTGACACTATTTCTTTTAGCCACAGTCGGACATGTGAGTTTGAGCTTTGGGTATCTTAAGTCGGCAATTATTATTTCCAACAGTTGAGTGACTGGAGCTCGAATTTTTGCTGTCGTTAGAAGCAGTTCTCAACTTCACTCCTGTTATTTCCTGCTCCTGAAGCTCGCAAGTCAGGTTTATTAACTACCTGCCAGAATTGCTCATTTCCCTCCTCTGGCAGGAATGAAGCCATTTTAAAGCAAGATATAAAACCTGATCTACTTCCCTTACACTCACACAGGGAAAAGCCTGATTCTTCAGGCTCTGCAGGTATGAATTACGAGGTGCTGTAAGGAACTGAAGGAATTAATGCCTCAAACGTTTATCGACAACAGAAAACCTCAAGGATAAGCTGTGGCTTGTGATTAGTCTAAGGAATGTCACCCGAGGAAGTGCTGAGTGTATGGAAGGATGTGCATCCCCACTCCCTTGCAGCTGTACTGCCAAACTCCTTAGATAAGCCTCGAAGGGGGGAAACGTGGACTGAGTGAAACCAAATGTTCGGGTTAAAAGACTGGTAAGAGAGATAAATAACCTGCACCAGATGGACCTAAGCAAAACCAGGAAAAAATAAAGGGGATGAGGGGGTGTGAGCACGACCACCGACTCAGTTGGACAAAGGCTGGTGCACCCAATTCCCCCTCAACGCACGCATGCAGAACCCCTGCTCCACCTTTTCCTCGTCTCGCATGCAAATGAATTCATGGAATACCCACTTCTCTTGGTCTAGTATGCAAATGAGCTGATAAGACGAACTTAAAAGGGACAGAAAACTTTGTGGTGTATGAACCCACCACACAAGATCACCAGACTATACCGAAACTTGGAGTGGTGATCCAGACTTTCTTTTTTCATTTTCTTTCTTATAGATTTATAAGAGACCACATTGCTTACTATCCTTTCCCAAGTTTAAGCTGTTTCTACCACAAGTAAAACATTTTAACTGTTAATCATCTGATGTTGTTTCACCTTAATTTAACCCAAGGGGACCACAAGAACCTTTACGACTCTCTGGGCTCCCAGTCTGGGTCGTAACAAGTACACAGCAAATGTCACATGCAGAAGGTGATTTACCAGGGACAAAGACCAGCCAGAAGCATTTAAAAGTCAGGACATTGGGAAAGAACTCTCAGATCAGTGTTAAGTTACAAAATATTTTAGGTGGCTACTTTTTTGTAGCATTTTTTTCCCCTAGTGTTAATTAGCACAGGAACAATTGAAAGCCGAACCCTTTGCCCTGAAAGAATACAGAAGAATTCTTTCAACTATTTATTTTTGCTTATAAAAGTATCTACAGTAGTTTTACTTCCTGCCCTTTGGAATTCCCAAAGATTAAAGAGCTAGACTAGGGAGAAGAAAAATGCACCTTTTTTTCCCTAATTAGTGAATCGGTAGTCAGGAGTCTTAAAGCAATAACACCAACACCCAATCCCTCTTTCCTTATCCCACAGATAAATCAAAAGAAATTTTGAAGAAACCCATTTAGACTTGACCTCACCACTCCCAGGCGCGCCCTCAATTTCTCACGAGGGAGTGGAAGGAAAGACAACAAGCCTGTCGATGGGGAAACATACACCACTTAGCAAAACCCTAAACCAGAGTACCTTCCTGAAACAGCACCCACTACTTCTGCTACAGAATTATTCTTCTAGGGTGCAAAAAAAGTCCTGTTAAAGACAAAAATATTGACTGGTAAGACACATGCAAGACGCAGCACAGCTGGATTTGCTATAGGACACAGCAACAACTTGAACCCTGGACTCGGATGTGACTGCGGGGAAACATTCAGGCCTTTATTGTACTCATCCAACTCAAGGTAAACCTCACTGTGGGAAGGCATCACTCAGCCTGCAGAGTTTAGTTTTTGCTATTGATAAAACTCCATGAAAAGGCTCAGTCTTCATTGCAGGTTCACCCCTCCCCCTGCTGCTTTTTACAAATAATAAAGAACAAAACGAATGAGAAGTTTTTAACACCACAAGGAACCTCCACAGGCCTCGTGAAGCCTTCCTTCAGACCAGAACTCCCTTTTAAGTACAGCTGTGATTTTTTTTTTTTTTTTGCAAAGGCCACTAAAGGAATCATTCTGAAGAAGCAAAAAAATATATCTGAGCAAATATTTTGAAACAGTTTTTCACATTTCTAGGGCTAAAGCAAGACAATCCTTAGCATAAAACATGACCACATTCTCCAGCTTGTTCCTAAGTGAGAGCAAGAATCCAGAGATACTTCAAAAGATATCACTCAAGTGATATTTTTGTGATATATTTTGCAATTAAATATTTAATATTGGAATCTTTGCTTTCAGCAACAGCATGGTTTACCTGGTGTTAAAGCACACTGCATCTATCGCATTGTCAACGCTCAAGTTTTTAATCAATGTTGTTATGTCTGTATTTTCCTCCTAAAGCCCGAGAGGATAGAATCAAGGTTTATGCTAAAATTTCTTCTCCCAAATAAACCCAACAGCTTTCTAGATATATTTAAAGACAGAATAGTTGGAAAACACCAATGACAAAAGCCTAGGAATTGAGAAATAAATGAAAATAAAGCCCCAGGCTTAAAAAAAACCACCAAACCCACACCAAAAACCCCAACCCTCAAGATTTTAAAGCTATTTTATAGGCACCCTGGAAACCAGCCCTGGAGGCACAGGACTCCTAACACTTCCCTCGCAGAAGGGATTTGCACAGAGGGGAGTATCAGTGAGTAAAATAAGTCAAGGCACTGCTGTATTAATGTATAGGAGATGCTGTCATAATAATGTATATCCAGGAAACCCGTGACAGAGTGAGAACTGGATTCTTGCTTCCTGCCCTCTGTCCCAAACCACCTGACACTGGAATTGGCAGATAACATCAGTGATATTTAGCTGATACTGATCTCTAACAGAGAACCAGCACTTTCAGAGGTAGATGTAAAGCCCACATGACATATTTTTTTAAATAAAGCTGCTACTGGGGAAAAGAAAAAAAAGAATCTAATCTTAGACTGTCTAAAGCAGTGAGCTGAACCAGCAATTCTTGTTCAGGCTTCCCTGGGACTGCAGCTGTTCTGCTTCAAGACAGTAACAGCTTGATAATCCCAGGGTGGTTCATGTCAGAAGGGACCTTGTAATGGGGACACTTCTGTGGGTTTGGGACTTTTGCCAGGGAGAAGCTTTAACGCTCCCTTTACCTTGGTCATGATGTTTCCATGAGGTTACTTTTCCTAACACAGTACAGCACTGCAGCTCTGCTGCTGATTTTCTTAATTCTTCCAGGTTGATCTACATGGTATTTTTCAACCAGCTAGTCATTTTGAGCACTTCTGATGCGAGCTCCAAAGGGTTCAACAGAAAAGCTCAGAGTTTGGCTCCAGCCTGACAGAGGAAAAAAATAAAACCAAGCAGTTCAAAGCAGTTTTTTAATTTGGGTGTGTTTTGACTCTGCTTTAAAAATGAGGTGAAAGATTATCATACTTGTCCTGCATACATCCTATACTACAAATGGGAAGCGAATACGGTGTTCTACAGCCAGGCACAGCTGGGAAGTGGATTTGGTACCTGAAAGTGTACCCGTGGAAGAACAAGGCTTCAGAACAAAGGCTGAAATATAGCCAGGGGTTACCTTACCTAAAAAACAAAGAATAAAATCAGAAATGCAATTTCAGAAAGCCACATAACCAATCTGACACTAGAAGCACACAAGGGCCCCAGCTGTTCACACCGAGTAAAGATGCTGCCTGCAGCTGGATGGCAGCAGGGGAGCATTCTGCTGTTAGCTCCAAAAAAAGGGGAAAGCAAACCAAGTGCTTGCTTTCGCAGCAGACACCGCAGGATTTGAGCGCTCGGCAAGGCTCGTTTGTCAAACCATCACCTTCATTTAAATCTCTTCACAAAGCACTCTCCTAAGCAGGAGGCACAGAAAAATCCTGAGGGAAAAATTTCAAGATGTTCACATCTCAGAAGTCAGACACAGCACAAACTAAAAATTTTTTTTTCCCCATGCCTTATTCCTTCTGCCACTACTGTCAGCCTCATTTACATCACATCCAGTCTTAACCTGCAACATCTTTTGGGTAGCTAGTTTGTCTCTTCAAATATTGCTCTGAAGTTTGTGGCACATTTTGGGTATTACAAACATAAATAAATCATACAGTAAAAGAGATTTGTGACTACTGCAAGAGATGCTCCAGTGTGAACTATACAAACTCTTGAAGGGGAGTAACATTTCCGCATCTAATCTGCATTTTCTATTATAAGGATGAAAACAAAGTAACCTTGCCTTCCTAAAACCTAAAATCTGAAACCCTTCAAACCGGGGCAGTCGAGGGAGGTTGGAACAGCCTCCGCAGATGCACACTGACTCCCTCAAGGCACACACAGCT